CCTTTCCAGAACCCGAAGACCACTCGGAGGCCAACGCCGGAGCCGTCGATACCGTTAATGATAAGGCAGTCGATAAACCGGCCGATAGTAGTGATGGTCACTCGTCGACGAAGACTCCGACCGACTCTTCAAAGACATGATTTGATTGCTTTTTGTATTTCATAATTAGGTTTAATTTTCTTCACACATAATATATAAAATCAAGTTTTTTGGCTGTAATTTAGTGGTCGAGTGATTGTAATCATAGGTTTAGTTATAATTATAATTAGTTATCATTTGAATAATTATCCTTTGATTATGTCTTATACAGTGCAACCTCTCTTGGGGAAACTTCTCCATACATTCCTGGCCTTTGGTCTCCGACTGGGAGTAATGAAAACAACTGAACGCCTCGCGGAACTGATAGCCACACGGGCCCGAAGACATGCCCCCCAGACACGGGCAGTTCCAGTTGATGTCACCGTTCGTCAGAATGAGGCCACGCATCGACTCGTCCGGAGTCTCTTCGGCCAACACCACAGTCGACGGCGTCGAGTGATCCTCTCGAGTGGCGAAGATTATCCGATCCTTTCCTATCTGTTGACAGTAAGACATGTTTGTCGTCTCTGTATGTGTTGTCTGTGTCCTAATCAACGGATCAGATGTGTGGATGTCTTGAGGTGTGTGTTGTGTCTCCGATATGACCCGCGCTTGAGATGAATGAGTCAAGCGATGCATTCATTCAATGATTGATTCAATTAAACACATGTTTTTTCTTCAGCCAAACGTTTCATCACTTCTCGCAAACATTTCATTCAAATTCACGTTTTGTTCACAAATTATTTGTCACTTTTGTTTGTATTTTAGGCATCGATTCCATACCAAAGCATTGCATAGATTTTCGCCCATTTTTATCATTTCTTTACGTTATTTACAGTCAAAATCATTAAATAAGAAATGCATGCCTTATGTGCCACCTATTGATCGATATATTTACCATAATCATTAACTTGATCATTTTTCAAAGTTTAGTATAACAGTAAATGTGTAGTAAATGTATAGTTTTTAACCATTATTAACTAATTGTAATGTAATTTATTCATATTTTGTAGATGTATGAGAGATGTGGTATGAATGGTAGGTTAGGTTGGATTAGGCATTCATTTTTAAAATTAGTTATTATTTAAATCTTTTGATTATAAACTTATAAATTTTGAATTTCTAATTATTAGAAGTTAT